AAGTCACAGTCTGAAATAGGTAGTGCTAGTACGTGATACCACTTACTAATGTCCCTGATTTTGTTTATGCTCTGAACAAACCCAGTGGATAAAAAAATGATTGAAGCCAATCATTTATAAAACTTCAGAATGTGACTTGTACTAAATCTTGGCTGTGTTAGAAGCCAAGAAACAACACCGATGAAAGTATACTCGCCATAGATTAGGCAATTTTAAAAAAAATTGCTTACAGTTTTAGAAAATTTATTTCTTTTCACGTTTCTTTTCGTTCACCCGTGAGCATACAGCTAATACATTCTAAATATCGGCGATGGAAAGATGACATTGTATATATACCACTGTGTGATAGATTTTGTAAACTTTGTAATAATACTCAAACTGCTGATGAACCATTTTCCATCATCTGCCATGTTTTTGTGTTGTATTAAAATCATGTTCCTCTGACCTGTTCGCATATGTAACGTGTGTATGTCTTATTTGAACCCATTGTTCCAATTTTTTGGTTTGGGTGAATAAAATGAACTTGAACCTTCGAATTATTCTTTAACATAAGCTGTAGGTTTTTCATTGTTAATGCTAGGGTTTTCATATTCCACTTTATTATTGTTTAGATACATGTTAGACCTTTCTGACGGTACCAACATTTTTGACGTCTTGACCTTGAAATATGACCAACTTTTGAAAAAAAAAGTTGTCAATTACTGTTAAATTGTTCAACAGCTTTCGTATTTTTCTTGTTACAAGATTTTGAGTATCGTTTTTTTAGCTCATCTGAGCCGAAAACTGGAATGAGCTTTTCTGATCACATTTTGTCCGTCGTCCGTCTGTCTGTCTGTCCGCTTTTACAATTTCAACTTCTTCTCAAGAACCACTAGGCCAATTTTAACCAAACTTGGTATAAAGCATCCTTGGGTAAAGGGAAGTTTAAATTATTAAAATCAAGGGCCAAGTCTGTTCACAAGGGGAGATAATCAAGAAAAGACAAAATAGGCTGGGGTTTTTAAAAATTCTTCTCAAGAACCACTGGGCCAGGAAAGCTGAAATTTATGTGGAAGCATCCTGGGGTAGTGTAAATTCTAAATTGTTCAAATCATGACCCCCGGGGTTGGGGGAGCACAATAGGGTATCAAATTTTTACATAGAAATATATAGGAAAAAACTTTAAACATCTTCCTCTCAAGAACCACTGGGACAGAAAAGCTGAAATTTATGTGGAAGCATCCTGGGGTAGTGTAATTCTAAATTGTTCAAATCATGACCCCCGGGGGTAGGGCGGGGCCAGGATAGGGAATCAAAGTTTTAGATAGAAATATATTGGGAAAAAAATTAAAAAAAAAACTTCTCAAGAACCACTGGGTCAGAAAAGCTGAAACTTATGTTGAAGCATCTTTGGGTATTGTAGATTCTAAATTGTTCAAATTTTGACCCCGGGTTTAGGGCGGGGCCACAATAGGGAATCACAGTTTTACATAGAAATATATAGGGAAAAAAATTAAAAAATCTTCTCAAGAACCACTGGGCCAGAAAAGCTGAAACTTATGTGGAAGAATCCTTGATAGTGTAGATTCTAAATTGTTCAAATCATGACCCCACGAGGGAGCGCAAGGCTACAGTAGGGAACACAAGTTTTAAATTGAAATATATAGGAAAATAAAAATCTTCTCGAGAACTACCTGCCAGAAAAGCTGAACTTATGTTGAAGCATCCTGGGGTAGTGTAGATTCTAAATTGTCCAAATTATGACCCCGGGTAGGGTTGGGTCTCAATATGTATTACAAGGGGGAAATTTGGTAAAAAACAGCGTGATCAAAGCTACTCAGGTGAGCGACGTGGCTCATGGGCCTCTTGTTTAAAATCTAATGACTTGAATTGATCCTGGGCCGGGATTCTTAAAACATCTTAATAGATGTTTATTTTTAAAAAAATCACTTAAGCTATGTAGTTTTACTCAAGGAGGTGTTTGAAGTAGATAAGTTTTCTTGATCAATTTAAAAACAATAGTGAACAGAAGAAATTTTAATCTTTTCATTAAAAAATTGTGCTACAACATCTCTCTAGAAAAAACTTTTTGACTTTGAGATATTTATCAATTAGTAATATGTAATTTGTAAATGTGCTTTATTCATGACAAGTTGTACATTTTAGTTATGATTAAATACACATAGAATTTAATACCGCCATTACAAAAGAGTGCACTTTTTGTTCAGGAATTTCCATGCTTTGCTGTGGTAATTCTTTTTTTCCCAGAATAAAACTTAGCTAAGAATTACGCTTAGAAATTTTATGAATATGACTTAAGGTATTTTTCTTAACTATGAATTTATTGATACTTAAGTGTGTGTCTTAGCACAAATCTTATGTATCTTTATGAATCCCAGCCCTGGAGTTTTACCTACTTTTGTTAAGCTTTAAAACTGATAATTACTTTTGAACGATGGATGCTACTGTGAGCACTTATATTTCACTTGACAAGTTTATTAGAGTAAAAAAAACTTTTTGTAACTAACATTGTTGACCTTGTCCTTTGAATTTGATTTTGTTTTGAAACTGAACGGTTGTTGCTGGGACTTCCATATGCTCTTGTGTTTTCCTTATTAAAGAATCCTTTTGGTACCAATATTTTTGACCTCGATCTTCTAGATATACTTTTGAAAAAAAGTTACCATATGCTTTAATTTTCATTATTCCAAACGCAGAAAAAGTGTTTATAACTTTGAAATACATTCAGTAGTTGACAGAATACCTCAAGTTTGTGTCCAGTCAATAAAACGATTATCAATCAATACGTTTGCATGATAATTTTACACATAAACTTCTTCAACCTTATGCAAATTATCACGCGAACAAACTGATTAATCTTTTCCTAAAAAAAAAACAAAACAAAAAAAAAACAACACAATTATTCTAAAATTACTAGTAACTAGAACGTAATTAAGTCGTTAATCAAAATATTATTTAATGAATACATAACTTCGGGCATATGGATTGCAATCCTGCGTTTAATTACATTCATATGTGCATGAATATCTTGGATTCAATCATAAGTTAGTACATATTTGCCCATATTCACACCTGTGTCTTAGGTAAGATAGATTTAAATAGTAAGCCTAGTTCAGGTAAACTGGGTTTAAATCCCATTTGAGCTGAGTTCACTTTGAACTCACCTGTGTTTCACACTTAAAATAAAACTTGTTTTACCTGAACCTCTCTTTTGTTTGCTTTATTCATTTGGTATTGCATATACAATGACTGGGAAGAAAGGTCCAAATTTTACTGAACTCGAAAAGTGTACCCTTATTAATTTAGTGGGGTCAAAAAAGGACATAATTGAAAACAAAGCTACTGATGCTAAAATGATCCACAAGAAAAAATTGGAATGGGAAAACTTAACAAAGGAATTTAACAGTAGAAATGGTGTAAATATCAGGACATCCACTCAGCTAAAACCATTATGAGAAACTCTTTTAACAACCCTACTTATTGTTGACTGTGAAATCCCAAATAAATCCCCATTCACTTGCTGAAATGCTCCTGTAGCAAAAAAATCTTAACGTTATCAAAAGCTGGTTGAGGGGTGAAACTGACATCAGTTTTCTCTGATTTGGTTCTAGATCATTTCCAAGTATGTCAATTATAAGGAGAGTGTCACGTTTACAAATCTCACAAGAAAATCTTCCTCATCATAAAAAAAGTAGGGATGTCAACGAATATTCGGATATTCATTCGATTAGTTGATATTCGAATATAAATTTATGATTCGAATATTCGTTTTTAAGTATACATGCATTAAAAAGAGAGAAAAGCCTGACAAGTTTTATTAGAAATTGAATCAAGTGCCCAGTTTTACAGTAAACACACGGACTTCTTTATGTAAATATCATAAAAAATCATTATTAGGAAATTATAATTAGCAAAAAGTAATTGTTTCTAATGTTTCACCGTTAGACAATTGTTCTGCTTGGTATAAATTTGTAGGAGTTATCAGTGTAGACTTTAATTAGACATTCACTTAATCTGGAAAATATTAAAGAATCTTTTGAATTTTCTAAAAACAGTCATTACATTTTGGATGTATACTATTCAATAATTCTTTTAAAAATATATATTTGAATTCCAAAATAAAACCTATACTGTTTTACAGGAAAGTGAAGATATATATTTAATAATGCAAGATGTATTTATTTTATCGAATATTCGAATACTCCTATCGAATATCAATAATTGACAATTTTGACATTCCTATAAAAAAGAAATGGAGGTAAATCTATCATGGATAGTTTTAGGTTGTCTAACAAACAGTTGGTCAATAAGATCAAGCCATTCTACACCATCTATGTGGTCTTCTATAGTTAGAATAATACTATCTTTAACATTTAAACCTACCCTAAACCAGGTTTAGGTTTACCTTAATATCTGAGAAGAGCTCACCCCTGAGAAGCAGGTGTGAAACAGATTTTAAAAATGTGAGTCCTTCTTACAGCTAAACCTAGTTTAAACATAGGTGTGAATATGGGCAATTGTTACACAAAAACGGAATGGGCTATTGATGAAGTACAGTCAATTCTCGAATTATCGCCATTCGATTCATCGCCATTTTCGCAATACCGCCATGATTTCCCAAGAACGTTTTTCCTGCTATATAAAATTCTCTTTATAACGCCAAATTCGCATACCGCCATCCGCCACCCTGTTTTCACAACAAACGTCCATTTTTAAGTGTCAATTATCTCGATATACCGCTACAGGTGCATGTGGTCAGTGAAGCGCGGCTAATTAGTTGACACTATTCCTGTTGTAAAGCATGCAAACGCAGACAAGGTACATGCAATTAAGTAATTAAACAAGAATTAAATAAACAATAATTTTAACATGAACTGTTGTAATAATTTTGTTTTCTGTTTAATATAATCATTTAGTCACAGCTTCGCCACGAAAGCGGTCGTTGTTAAAGTACGCCGATATAATGATATTATTTTGATAATCTCTGCTTTAAACTGTGCAAAGTTTGCTGGAAAAAATAATCATACGGTATAAATTGTGAACGTTCCATCAACAATGATACCATGAACAATGAACATATTCAAGAATTCATTTTACTTATTATGGGCAATAAATCACGACGATCGACCCAGTATGTTTTTTTTTTCAATATCGAACGTGCAGATTTACATTCATATACAAATATTTGTCTTTATTTCATAATTGCACATTTTGTTTTAGCGAAATTGTACATTAAAAAAATTACTTGAAGTATTTTCAATCAGAAATATGTTTTTATATACATGTACATGTAACAATAAGAATAGAAACGCTAAATGGTATCTCTAAGAACAATAACTCTTCTTCTTGTTTTCTAAAAGATGGGAAATTCAATTCATCGCCAAATTCGTTATACCGCCATGATTTCTAAATTACAAAGGGTGGCGGTTTATCGAGAATTAATTGTACATATACTTTTTACAACATGTTACTCTGTTTTTAGTATATAGCAGCCTCACAAATGTATGCAAATTTCCTGGTACATACGAGGTCATTCCATTTATAAGAACCCGCCGACGAAACCGCTAGACAGTTGCCGCTGCGATCTGGTTGTCCATTCATCCAATTGTCTTTGCTAAGTTCACCATTACTGAATCCATAGCAGGTTCCGTGTACACCGTATCTCCCATTTACCCAAAAATAAAGAGTCTTATCTGGTGAAAAAGTCGAATAAGTATTCATTAAACGTATATACTACATAAAATCCATGAGTATTGATATATAATCACTTTTAATTGCAGAATTTTATTTTACCATCGACTGAAAAATGCTATGCAAATCCATTTGCTCGCGAAAATTTCATTTTGTTAAAGATCATACAGATCAACAAAACTCAAAAAATATCATCTTACAGATAAATAAATACCTAAAAAGTTTCTCATGAAAATTGGGTATAAAGTCGTACGCGTCTATTTGTAGAACGTCAAAGTGCTTAAAGGACACCAGGCTGGTCATAGTTAAAAGGTTGACAAATAAAGCTGTGTAATCTTTTTTTAGTAGACAATTCACTGACAGGAAAACAAGAAGACAAATTCATTGCAGATCTTGTATGATACAAATAACTGATTTCAATTCGTTATCAGAAAGAAACATCTCTATATTATAGAGAAGGTCTATCACTCTTCAATTTTTCTTCATACAGGACTTGGTCTGTCTTATAGCGTACACTATTTCATTGGCAGATTGTTAATGTGCTCCAAATACAGTAACTGCCATCAGTGGGAAAATTAATGAAAACTTTTAATAAATTAATAATTATTACATGTACGTTTAAAAGGTACGTGTGATATCTAGCGATCTAAAAATGACTTAGATAATAATCAATTAATGTAAATGATTAGGAACGGTGATCTTGACAAGAGTTTACTAGTTTCTGATTGGTGAATTCTAGCCCCTGCTCATACAAACTACACAATGAAAAAATCTTACTAGGCATTCCAAAGCCGTCTATTAAGGCCGAGCTCACTCTGTTCCTTTTAAGGTTCGAGTTGATTATGAGTAGTCTCCCGTTTATGGAACTCGTCTCGCAATCTGCCATGGCCTCATCGTAAGTCTTCGTATTTGTAAACACCCGCCAACACAACTGGATGTACTCCCCCTTTCTCTGCTCTTCCTCGATATAGTCATTAGTGCAGATAGCTTCAAAATATTATCAAAAAGTATCTTTTGCAAATGCTATAAAAACTTACTGTTATAAATTTTATACACGTAATACTAAATGATCCAAATTAAAAAAAGTATCAGTATGTGATTTGTATTTTTTTAGATAGAAAGGATCGAGTTTAACAATGAATACTCATTTGATAAATTGCATATTGATATAAATCCCATTCAAGAATTTTTTGCTCATATAGAGAAATTATCATATACTGTAGATCACTAAATTTTTGCAACACCTTATTTTCGCGAGATAGTTATTGACTCTTTATTAGCGAGACATAATTTACACGAATTGTTGTTTTTCCTCTGTATAATCGTCAGGAATGCTTTTAAACGCGAGAATGAAATTTTCGCGAGCTCTTTGTCTCGCATAATTACGCGAAAATTAAGTTCCCGCGAATAAAACGTGATTTACAGTACCGCTGAAGGTCTTCAAAGTAAGACAGTTACTCGCTACTTAGCTAAGGTAATTAAGGAGTAAGGGATCTTTATAGTCCCATTATTCATATCGTGAAATTTTCATTTGTAACGAGCGCTTGGCAAAGAAACAAGTTTCTTTATAAAGACAGCACTTGTATAATTTTATTAATATAAAATATAGAAAAAGACACTTGTACATTGTTTTACCTTTGCATCGTCCATGTATGTGCCAGTTTCCATCATCCTGACATACCGAACTCGGGTTTCCCTGGTATCCTTCATTACATTTGTAGTCTGCCATTGCACCACAAAAATTATCGTAGCCAGAGGTAAGAACTGCATTGGAAATAGTAGGAGGCTCACTGTTACACGTGACTAACATGTCTGGAAAAATCCAATAGAAAGTAAATGTGTTTGCAACACCATGCAACCCCTTCTTCCTTACTATATTTCCCGTAATTATATTTGTGGTCACCACTTTAGAATGTATATAAATGAGTTGGAATGTACTTATTTAAAAAAATAAAAGTTAAGTCAAAGATAATTTCTGGAAAAAAAATGCATAAAGAACAAGGTAGTGGGCTCAAAAATCAAAGCACATTTGATAAAACGTCATCTCACAGGTAATACCCCTTTCAAGTATGAATGCCCAATCCTCTCTAATCAGAAGTTATAACAAATTTTCATTTTTTGAATAATAAGTCAATTTGTAAGGTTAAAGATGCAAGTAAAAAGTACTAAAATAATTGGAAAGGGAAACATTTGACATTTATGACATTTGACAGCGTTACCTTATCCTCATTCAATTATTATATGTATGATCGAGGTTTGAGTTATGCTAAAAAAAATGAAAAGTGTGTCTAATTATCGTGCCAAGAACACGAAGTCAAAAATCATAGTATAGTTGGAAAGGGTTTGTCATTTTATAAATTCAAGTAGAAAATAATTCATTTCAATTTGAAACTAAATAGAACACAAATGGAAAAAATTACCATGTGTATAAAATACAAAGAGGAAAATAATAGAACACAACTGGAATCCTATAGTATTCTAAAGGAAAATTTAAGATAGTATACAAATAACAAGTGGGCCTTAACGGTTACCTGCGTATAAAGCGCAATTTTTTTTTCTGATAAAATTTCTTTTGTCACAGGTTTACTAATTTTTGATAACAAAAGAAATAGCACTTATTGCTGTATTTCAGTACTTACCCCTACAATAACCCTGGATTGGAGTCCACGTTTCATTTGCGAGGCAGCTGATAGAAATATCTCCGACATTCTCATAACATGGATTGCATGAATACGTTACGACGGCATTGAATGCCCGATTTTTATCTTTTGTGTTTGCATTTTGCAACTCTGGAATATGGCTGCACCCTTCAATAATAAAATCAAATAATACTTAAAATCAAATGATGCTTTGCTACTTTTAATAAATTTGTTGACGAAACATAATTATAGATTCTCTGGTTGATAAGTAATTTAATTGATTTTTCACTTGTTTTTTAAATTTTTTTGAATTGATTTTTCAATCGTGTTATTTTCTCTTTGATTTGCATAATTTATTGTAATGTATAAGGAGAAGATCTTAGTAAATTGTTTAGAATGTTTCCAATCCTTTTGACGACCTCAATAAAATATTTTCGAAACAAATGAAGCTTTAAGAAATTATTCTGCATAGTAGTGACATCTCTATGTATATCTATTAAGTTTCAAAAATGCAGTAAATAGAAATACTAGTACTAGTATTTCTGCATGAACTGTAATTTTTCGTTTTCGATCGAACTTTTTCCTAGCAGAGAAGTAGATATAAAGAAATTTAAATTTCAAGAGATGAACACTTAGTCGGTTTTTTGCACTTCGACCTACGTAAGCAGCGTCCAAGCTGTGGTGTCCACTGGCCATTGGTAGAACAGGTTATAGTTAGTGGACCGTCTACCGCAAAGCCTTTATCACAAGAGTAGGTGACGTCAGCGCCAATCGCTGTATTGTCCTGATCTTTGTCTTTCTTACCTTTCTCAAGCGAAGGAAAAGCTCCGCAGTCTATAAAATAAACAGGACCGGAGAAATAAACAAGTAAAATAAATACTATACAAAAAAAAAAAGAATTTTAAGTATTAGTATTTTGAATCTGTAACAAGTCCTGTCTGAAAGTTGAAATTGTCAAAACTCGTACACACCTAAGGCGACACATGTAGCCGCACCAGACGTGGACTTCATACATTTATGTCTTGGAGGACATGACAGATCACAAGAGTTCAAACAATCCTGAAAAGTGTTACATATATCCATACATATATACAGAAATGCATGTACACGAAGTCATGATGCTGCGAAATATATTTTTATAGAAGGTTTAGGGTAATTCCAATTTTATATTCTTTTTTTGCATAATTTTTACATACTGATAATCATAAAAGCTGTAGAGCTTTATTCTATGTAATCCATGCTATCCCACCTTCTCATACCTTGCATACGATCTGTAGCTGGCTCTTGGTCACAGAAACATACTGCTTTGCACTCTCTGTGACGGAGTCCTCTTTGTTCAGGTAACATATTAAATGTTCCATGTTGTAATTAACAGACAGACAGTCCGTGTGAGCGAGGCACTCAGCAGAACACATGTTTAAACCAATCCCAGGGATCTGATACAGTACATCAGTCACTATTCTCATGCCCTGCTCAAATTTAACATGTGGTGTGCATCCTAATGCCAGTTTAAAATACATGACAAGAAAGTGCAGAAATATGGTGATATTGAAAAAGATGCACATTTTCGGTCGGTAGCAATTCAAGCCCTCTTTTATATATATTGTATATACGAGATCTCAGCAATTTATTTCTTTTTGTATAAATGAACAATATTTAAAAAAAAAAAAGGAATCAGAGGATAACCTTCAATAATTTATTGATTGGAATCCTAATTATTTTAATAATTATAAATATATGCTCTTTTACCGTTTTATTGATTTATTTACAATTAATGAGAAATAAATATTTGCAATCAACCTTATCATTACTGAATTAATTGTGTTAGGTCAAGTAAAATTTGTCTTAGTACAAATTTTTAAATACAAAAATGATATGCTAGCTTATTATTCTATTCATTAGCACCTTAATTAAATGCCTATCTTTACATGTACCATATGTTTCATGTTTACAAATTTTACCTGAAAAAGACGTTAATGACAATCTTATAACCAAGATTTGTGATAAATGTGATGACTCAAGCTTTTCAACTTCCCTTACTTATTCAGCAAGATACCTTCCTCACCTGCATACGGGGTTTAGATTTCTCACTTTATTCGATACGCAGGAGCATGCACAACGTACGTGTATCAATTTCTAAAACGTGGTAAATTATTGACAAAGAAGACGCTGAAACAAGAATATCAGCAGTCTCGTTTAAAGTCATCAATTCGTAAGTTCTACAATGAACTTGTCAGCAAATAAAATTTACAATGAAATCAAATGTGACTTACATTTTTCATAGATATTCTTAGGCCATTATTTACACACTGAATTGTCAATGGATATTTACGGTGTTTCCCGATCATGACAACGAGCTCACGGCGGGTGTAACCGTTCGGCAGGGGATGCTCACTCCTCCATGGCACCTGATCCCACCTCAGATGATTAAGATGTCATGTGTCTGCTCTGCTCCAATTTTGTAATATTTAACGGACTTTTGAGCTTAATTATTCTTTGTTATCTCCATACTTGTACATACGCAACACCAAATGAACACTTTGACTGCACACTAAATATTTTTCATTGTCTTGATAATATACACAAGTATTTTCCTTTTTTCCAAGATTGAAACATTGTCACGGCTGTATCCTTGGACATAACCTTGCACCTTTAATTTGACCCTTTGACCTTGGAGTATGAACAACATTTTAAAAAATACTTTAACATTGGTCACAACATTTTAATGGTTAGGGGGTTGGGCTTTCATATATATCACAAGAATATTCTTTTGAATATTTTGAACCATGTGATATTTACAATGTTTTATGACATTTGTCAATGACCACAATATCAGGCCATTTATAACCTCGTTGTTATTTTAGAGGATTTCTTTCCCTCGTTTACAAATTTACACACCATGCGATTGGCATTTCTGCATAATTCTTACGTAATGAAGGCACAATATTATATATTTCATCAGAAATCTTTCATTAGACTTTTTTGCTTAAGAACCCTCTCTACACTGCACACTAGGGACTTTTGATTCTAAAGTATTTCTCTGCAGTTAAAGTGATATGTCACTACATCTTAATCTTAAAAAATTTAAATTCACAGTATATTACACAATATGTAATCAATTCAAGTATTCTTAGCATTTCAAAAGTCCCAGATAAATAAATTGAACGTGTTATTTACATGTATTTTCTCCTTGGAAGTAAACAACAGTGATTTCAATTAACTGATACTGTGTTGTGCTTGATTATTTTTTCTTGGGGCAAATGCCACGTATACCATATATCGAAAATTAAATCTATAATCTCAATATTAACACCTTTATAGAATACATTTTTCTCAATGTCCAAAAAACATTTTACACTGGTGTAGAGAGGGTCCTTAACTGTATTTTATGATGAAATATGGATTATTATCATTATTATTATGGATTAAATAGAAGCAGAGCAAACAGAGACCTCTTAAACATTAAAAGTTGAAGCAGATGTCATGGAGGAGAAAACTCCCCTGTTAACAGGTCAATCCTGTCATGTGCTCCTTGACATGATCAAGATAACGAAAATACCATCAGACAATTCAGTATGAAAACAATGGCATCTGGTATGAAAACTTGAACCATTAATTTGACAAAAAGTGTTTTGAAAAAATCCACACAAAGTTAAGTAAACATAGCAACAACGTTTTTTTTTGTACCATATATACCGTATATTGGAATGAGTGGCGAATCTTACGTCCTTATTTAACCAAATAATCAAACATTATCTAAGGTTGCGGAGTCTAAAACAGTCAAACTTAAACAATAAATAGGTACAGTGTACTGTATTATCTTATTAAAAATAATTTTCATAAGAAGCTGTTGGTAATAGACAAGGTTTTGTGTTATCTTCCCTTCTCCTATGCATCTGATCCCGCCTCTGGAATTTCCTTGAGCCCTTGTATATTCCCTCTTCAAACAAGCGGTATTGAGATTGATCAAAGTTTATCAATCTTATTAAAATCAAACCTTCCACAAGCTCCTTTTATTTTGGTGATCGTGTGACCATCATATAATTTGGCTAGTGGAAGGTTTGATTTTAATCAGTCTACGAACTTTGTTTTCCCCCTTATCATAATTATTCTTCATTTTAATTACAAAATAAGAACTTACATTTGATTTGTTTGTGATATATTTTAAAAACATTGGACAGAAAATTTGTTGAACAAAATGGCTCCTAGTCCATATGAAGAATTTTAGCTTGTTCCACAGCAGGCTTTGTACATGGCTTGACACATATCATAACAACTGTATCTTCTTTGACGCAGTTTGGCATCATTGACGTCACGTTTACCGATGTTGTTGATGATATTTGATATGGTGTTGTAGCAGTTGTTAATACACGTAGAACTGGTGGTGTAGCAACGACTGGGACAGGTGGACTCCGTTGATAGAACAATGGTAAAAATGGAAGCAGCCAGAAACAGATGAACGAAATTTGAATTGTTCATAGTGTCGGATGGGTATAATTGAAACTGTAAAAACAAGGGGGGAATGTTAAAATATATATGAATAAATAAAATTGGGCTCTAAATATGAATGAAAAAAAATGATTCTGCGGAACCTCCCAAATCCTTATTTCCCTTGATCAATGAATTCAAGATATTAATTATCAATAATAAAAGAGTTAGTTAAATGGACTAGCAATAAATTGAAAACATTTCAAGTCCACAAATTCTTGTATTAGAGTAAAATTTATATGAGTATTCTTCAAAATATTATGTACTTGATACTTCGAGTATATAATATCCTTAAAGCAATATGAGCTGCATTTTTAATAATTTTATTTGCTGTTAAAACGTGCTATTATGAAAAAGTTGCTTGTAATTTAAACATTTATGATCAATTAGACAAAAACAAAGTTTTTTTTTTCAGAAGTAAGACTTCTGAACAGGGTAATGTGTAGTATTATATAAGAAGTCAATATTGTACAGGATGACAATAATGTAATTTTGCTTCAATCAAAGCTTATAAATACCGGTAGTTCATCCATCACAAATATGAACAACAGAAGTTTATAAATGTTATTTTTGCTGTCAATGAAATACCCAGTAGTCATAATTACAATTTTGCAACAAAAATTCCGACTTCAAATTTGCAGCTACCGGTCACGGTAGCCTAGTGGTAGAGCGTTCGCTTCGTGATCGGGAGGCCCGGGTTCGATTCTCGATCGCGGCGCCGCGTCATACCTAAGACGTAAACATAGGTAGTGACTGTTCCTTCGCCAAGCGCTCGGCACTAGAAGTGAAAGTCACGGGTCTTTCGGATATGACCTTAAAAACGTAGGTCCCGTGTCACGGTGGGCGTTGGCACGATAAAGAACCCTCCCTGCTCAATGGCCCTGAGTGCCGAGTATAGGTCTAAATTTGAAGCCCTTCACCGGCATCGGTGACGTCTCCATATGAGTGAAAATTCTCAAGAGGGACGTTAAACAATATACAATCAATCAATCAATCAAATTTGCAGCTCACATTGCTTTAAAAAAAACCCTCATTTTTTCGATTCATATGTTTGCATTACGTTAACAAAAACTTATTTTATGCAGGACTTTTTCTTATATCAAATGCCTGATTGTTGCATAATTTCAGCTGTTTGGTTGTTTTGATTTATAAATATATATGTAATGTTTAACAATTACTCTAAATATGATTGATTTGCAAACAACTGTCTTTACCTTTGAATATCTGTTTATGAATTTTCTCTCCTGTCTTCAGAGTGAATATAGAGTTTTAAAAGGACGTGCTTATATACTATTTAAGAGGGATCATTGCGACATTAAAATTCGTCATACATATTATCTTTAGGATATTCCGCACTTCGTTACTGATAAAGAATTACTGAGATAAACAGGAAATGCAATCCTTATTCCGCGGTATTTGAGTGCAATATTCGATCAGAGTAAGAAATGTTCTGTTATATTCTGTTTATTTCGCTATTCATAATATGATCACAATTTTATTTTTCATTTGCTGATAGGAATTCGAGACAGGTTACTCTAAAATTATAGAAAGAATGGTCAAGGTCATCTTTTGTTATTGAAAACCAAAAGGTGTATCCATCCCATCGAATCGTTAAAATAGGACAGTGGCTAAGATATAGTCCGATTAGAAGGTTCCAATATCACTATGTGATTTATTCTGATCCAATTTAAACGAGAATGCTGATATTCTTGTTTCATCAACTTGCTTGTCTTCGTTTTAGAAATCCTTTAAACGTAGAGCATGCTCTTGTGTATCGAATAAATTGAGAGATACAATTTTTTTTAAAAAGGACAAAAAGATGACTGAAAGAATGAGCAACTCTTGTTGGTCATCATTTGAGAAAACATGCATAAATCTTCAAGGAATAATGTTCTATTAAGGAATCACTGTCTAGTTAGCATAGTATGCCAGGGCATCAACAATAGTGGGAAACATGGGATAATTTGCATAACTTATGCAGAAATTATCCCATGTTTCTCATTATTGTTGATGTCCCTGGCATACTATACTAACTAGACAGTGATTCCTTATATTTCCATTTCATTGTGAAATAAAATTGTAGATTTAGACTTTAAAAATGTAGACATAGAGTTAAATTACACGAGGACTCCCTTCCCAATTTCAATAATCCTCGCCCACTGACGTCAAACACAACGGCAGCCGCACGAGATTTTCATGCATATTTGGCCTCCATAGCGTCAGACTCAGAGACAGTTGCGCACGAGATATGCATGCATATTAGGCCTTTTAGCTCCTGACCTATTGACCTGCCTAATTTACATTCTGGTAGAATTATCAAGAAATTAAATCCGCTCACTTTCAAAGAGTTATCACAGAGAGAAAAATTAGAAATGGAAATATATAGTAATAATTGCTGCATATAGATCGTCCTTCTAGTCTGGTATTGTTTAAAAACGCAATGTACGGAGTACCTGGAAAAAGCATTCTATAAAGCTATGCTTTCAATTCTGTAAGAAAACTACATTTCCTTACTTGATCCTATCATTAGTCAAACCAGTGTTATGACCAAATGTTTGGTTCTCTTTATAAATTCTTTCTGTTGATTTAACTTTCAATAATAATCTACTCGTCGTTTCACTAATAGACATACCAGTACTGAAAACCAGAAATAAAACTCAACCCATCATACATAAACTTATGTTTTAATAAAAACTTTAAAATAGCTCTTAGACAATGTAATGACCAAAAGACCACTACAATAATGGCAAAATTTCAGTTCCTTTAGTTTGTTCCACAGCAGGCTTTGTACATGGCTTGACACATGTCATAACAACTTGATCTTCTTTGACGCAGTTTGGCATCATTGACGTCACGTTTACCGATGTTGTTGATGATATTCGATAAGGTGTTGTAGCAGTTGTTGCTACACGTAGAAAGGGCGGTGTAGCAACGACTTGGACAGGTGGATGAAACAGTTGAAAACAAAAAGGCAACCAAGAAAACGAGAATGACGTTGTTCGCCTTCATGCTGTCAGAAGGGTCCTTAAATATAATTTGTAAATATCAAAGATACACTGATCCGTTCCAATCAGATAATGAAACATACAATAACATATTTTTTTGAAATTTGTACTTAATATGATTTTATTGTGCAGTGGTCTTTGCCATTTAAATAAAAATATTGCGCGTTTGTATACATGTCCATGTACATTGTATGAACCTCCATCAAAATGGTCGTCGCATATAAAATTTCTTTTGCTTTTAAGGAACAAGGTCCTCGTGACTCAGAACAGAGAAAGTATTCAGTAATATAGAAAGGGTTGTCAGTAAGTTAGGATTCTCCCAATTTTATAGATAGAATGGCGGGGTTCGTAAGTGTTTTTCTATGGAAACTCCTATGGCAAATGCAATAAGTTTAATGGAGCTAGGTTCTGTAAAAGACTCGATGATATTTTTCAGTGCTATGTTCCTATAAAGGGGGCGATGCGGATAAGAGATGGGTTTAAGGAATGAAGTTTATTTTAACTTATGTAATACATTGATATAACATAACTTGGGTCAGTTTACACTTTATAAACTGTGAAGCGGTTTATAAAAAAGCGTAAACTGTCCCAAGTTATGTTATATCATATAACATGAGTTGAAATAAGCTTCATTCCTTACCATTTAATTGCACTGTAGACAATGAGACAATTTTTCCCCAAGAAAAGGCTTCAAACTGAGCATATTCAAAAAATAATATAAGTGGAGTAATACGTTTTTGACGTACGTAATTCATTGTGACATAGGCAACTTACGTTAAACGAAATGGATTTCATCTTTTATCCAATCAAATGACGACTTACAACTAAAATTGAATTATTTGAATTACTGAAATATTTACATGTATAAATAAAATTCACTGATTCTTAACTACAGTGAGCTGTTTACACCATCTATTATTTATGCGTCTCCACTACAAAGAGATATTTGGTATTTTTGGTATATTGGTGTAGCAAAACGTACATGAGCACTGTCATTCTTTAGTCAACATTAATGGCAACACATCTCATTCTTACACTGAATATTTCACATATATTCCATAGTGCCAATATGCACCTCCTATTTTTAAAAATCTTTTTCCTATTTATGATCGAAGAATTTTTGGGGATTCCAATAGCAAAACATTTAATTGACACCGCTATTATATTTGGATAAAGGGAAAACCTCCTGAAAGCATTACTCTCATTAACTCCTAATTTAAACTTAAGGACAGATGATACAAACAAATTTTTTCTTTGAAAAAGATCAAATATCATGTCACAAGTTTAGAAAAGTGGATGGTTCTTAGAATTTTTTCTCCGAAGAACTGGAATATGAAAAAGACTTAGAAAATATTAGTAATATTCAATGAAAAAAACAAATATAGACAAATCACATTCAGTAAAGGTTTACAGGTGAAAATAAATTTCAGAATATGTTATCTTGGCGCTAAAAGTGTAATATAAACTTAAGAAAAATATACCGAGCCAGGTGAATTTTATTAGAAAAAGCTAAATGGTAAAAATCAGCCTATGTGATATTGCCAATTTTTTGTCATTTCGATCTTCCTCTTAAAATTCACCTGGCTTGGTATATTTTTCTAAGGTTTATATTACACTTTTAGCGCCAGGATAACATATTCTGAAATTTATTTTCACCTGTAAACCTTTACTGAATGTGATTTGTCTATATTTGTTTTTTCATTGAAATATTACTAATATTTTCCAAATAAATTTCATATTCCAGTTCTTAGGAGAAAAAAATTCTAAGAACCATCCACTTTTCTAAACTTGTGACATGATATTTAATCTTTTTCAAAGAAAAAATTTGTTTGTATCATCTGTCCTTAAAGTAAATAGAATCTCCATTTCATATTGCAATAAATTGAAATTTACCATTATACTAGTACATGTGTATACGGGTTCGAGATATCATTTCATGGACAGTTAACACTCTACACCATAGTTACAGATAACAAATAGTAAATGTACGAATAAAAATTAATTTGTCGGAAATTGAATTATTACATTTAAAATCTTACTTACTCTGTGGTTTATATTTGTCGGAATTTGTTGTGCAATATTAATCAGAAAGTTGAACTTATATAGTTAAATTCTGTACAATGCTGTCTACCATATGTTGCAGACATTTTACTGATTGTATCCTGGTATCTGTGAAATTTTTACACGAATCAAATTAGTGACAACGCAATCTGTTGATCAATTACATTGAATTAGACACTTTAAAAAAATCGGATCGTTTGTATCTAAACCTATTCTTTATGATGAATAACAATAAAATTACACAGATCATCAAAAAGCTTATTTTGTTTCTAAAATAATTTTTGAAAATCATGTTCACCGGTACCTACATGTAAGCTTTCCAGACAATATAATTAGTTTAACTTTTTAGCCACCTAAGACAAAATAGGGAACTTCTTTACATTACCAAAAACTGATCGTTGCAGACCTGTTTACCCATATTGTTGTCTCTCAGTATTTTTTTATCTATAGATTTGTCCGTGAGATTTGGCATTTGCCAGTAAGATTTCACTTTCCATTAATTTTACATATATAAAATAAATGGAGAACAACTGCTTTTCTGAGTACTAAAACATGGTTTAATAACATAACTTTGATATTGAATACTGTTCGTTATCTCCATATCCTTCTTGATCATTTTATACCATGGCGTTTTGGCAAACCGACATAACTGAATATGAATTTTTTAGTGATTAAAAAAGCATGAAACTGAGATAGATCATACCGAAAACTAACTTATCAATTCTAAACAAGTGTATCTCTTATTTCCGTACAAGTTTACATAATAGCAAAATGTGAGACGTATTTTGGACTAAAAATCCGTACAAAATACGGGAAATCGTGAGAGTAAACACGTCTGTAGTTGATTTTTAAAACAAAATTAAAAGCTGTAAAATGGCAAACCCAGGGGCAGTATTCGTAGGAAGCAGCTGCTTGTGAGAGCAGTCAGTCCACAGCTACATGGATCGTTTTGAACAGTGTATAAGCCATGCCAAGACATCTTATAGCAAGTTAATTAAGATAATCTCACAAGCAAGACAACCAAGCTGAGCCACATAAAAACAAAAAAAACTTAAGAAACGGCGGCTTAAACTTAAGCAGTGCGTGCCCCTTGTGACGAAGTTGTCAGTAAAGCTCCTCATAATTGCAATGAAGGGAAGAAAGGTAGATCGTGGGTATAAAGCTATGGCACGCCAAATTCACAAATGAGGTAAACATAGTTTCACAGTCGATAAACTATGTTTGTCGGTTGTAAACTATAGTTTACGGATTGTAAACTTTAGTTTACAACGTTAATCCACATTTTACATCTGTAAACCATATAGTTAACGCGATAATATATGTTTCAGAACCGTAAATTATACTTAACACCGAAAACAATCATTTGCGATTGCAAAACATATATTAGCTGATAAATATAGTTTCACGATTTGTAAACTATGGTTTGCAACTCTTAACTATAGCTATCGATTTAATTAGCTGCAGATCTGTAGCGTTATGGTTTTATTTATTTGTCTTTGACCATAACGCTACAGATCCTGTAATGCAAAAAAGGTTCGATTTACGGCGCAATATTTTTTGCGCGCTTTTGGGGAGAATTTCTCCACTTTCAAGCATTGGTCAATCAACTATACCTTTCACTCCCTGATTCTAGACACATTCTGTAGCCAATATGTATATTATATTTTATCCACTTTTCAACCATTTGTAGTTGTCTCTACAGGCAATAATTAAAGTCGCTAGAAGTGAATTTTCAGCAATCTAACAAATAATTTTAATCAAGCGAGTTTATCACTTGTAGAGACGAGTATAAAGGGTTGGGAGGTGTATAAAATATTCATATTGGCTACAGAATATGTGTCTAGAATTAGGGAGTGAAAGGTTATTGATTGAACAATGCTTGAAAGTGGAGAAATTCTCCCACAAAACGCGCAAAAAATATTGCGCCGTAAATTGCATCTTTTTTGCATTACAGGATCTGTAGCGTTATGGTCAAAGACAAATATATAAAACCATAACGCTACAGATCTGCAGCTAACGATTTAATAAATATAGTTTCACGATTTGTGAAACTATAATAAACAACTCTTAGCTTTAGTTCACGATTGTAAATTGTAGTTTACAGACGTAAATCTATGTTTATCAATAAAATCTATTGTTAACGTTTTATCACAGACAGATAAACTTAGATTAGCATTCGTAAACAACCGTTAAATATCGTTTTACAGATGAAAACTATATACTTAACGAATTGATTGTGCACGGTTTGTAAACTATAGTTTACAGTCGAAGAACCTAGTTTATCAACTGTGAAACTATATTTAGCTCATTTTTGTGAATTTGGCGTGCCATATGAAGCGCTTTGCATGGGATTAAAGAACGGTGTCTCATACTGAGATTCCCAATCAGATTCCTAAAAGACGGAAAGGGGAGGGCTGAATCAAGTGAAGAAAATGCTAGTATATCAGTATATAGTGTAGGAGAGAAAATGAGAGGAGGGGGGTATTCAATCTTGGCGGTAATCTCTGTTGAGATTCTGCTGGGCTAGATATTTGGACTGACGCCGTCGCAGAATCTCTGGACGACCATTAATAATTCACGTCTGGAAATTAGGCCCCAACTTCGGCCGACTATAGCAAGAATTATTCACCTAGACCACACTGCCGTTCGCTTCAATTAAGTTATTTAGTTGTTTAAAAATATTTTACTCTCTGTCACTATTATTTCTTCACATCTTACCGTTTTGGCATGTAAATCCCAACATTAAAATATTCACTGAAATCTCCAGTTCGAAATATGGCTCCCATGACGAAATTGTTTACCTCCTCAAATAAAAGAGTTCCTATAGTCTGTTTTTACCCTATGTGATTCTGAACCAAGTCTATTGTGGCTATTGAACATCACATTGGGTAAAAACAGACTATAGGAACTCTTTTATTTCCTATATTTTCATAATTAAGATGAAGGATTACCTCCAAAATATCAGAAGTGGGATCAGGTGCTAGAAGCAAATCTTAAGATGTTCGGTGGTTGAGGCTATCTGGCACCGATTGCAGGGTGGCGGACAGGAGTTATGTTCGGTGCTTAATCTCAGGTACTTATGGTTAGGACCATACCCCCGCCCCCAGCCCCCATATACACGCCTGGTCCTCGTGAATTATGTTTCTAATACTTATTTACAATGTATCATGATGTATTCCATATGAAAAATCCAAAACATAACACAGATTTAACGATTTACTAAAAAAGTCACGAAAACTATTAAAAACTATTACGAGGGTGTCATGTTGTAAATTTTGAATTTACCGGTTGGCAGTAAATACGAAATTTACAACATGACGTAAATTTTGTATTTACTGCCACCCGGTCTTTTTGTATTTACTGCCACCCGGTAAATTCAAAATTTACAACATGACAAGGGTATGACTTTTAGTAAATCGTTCAATCTGTGATATGTTTTGGATTTTTCATATGGAATACATTGTAAATGAGTAGTAGAAACACACTTAGTAATTCATGAGAAAATCAAAAAAAAAAAATTTTTTTTGACCGGGTGTATTTGGGGGGGGGGGGGGGGAGGAGGGGAGTGTCTGTCCACAGGTATCAGAGACAATGCAAACAAAAGATTTATATTGAGCTTGAGAACTCTCTTAATTCAAATCCTAAATCATTTTGGAAATTAATAAACAAACTTGATCGTTCATCAAAGTGCACAAATGAGGATGTATTACCTCATGACAAGTTTAAAGATCATTTTAAAAAACTGTCTTTGGATAATTCAAACTTAAATGCATTTCAAAGGGAAATTATTCAAAAATTTGAAGAGCTAAAAAAGAAACAAGAGTCATATTTTGAAATGAATGTACTGAATAGCTCAATCACGTCTAGTGAAATACTTAAAGCCATTAAATCTTTGAAAAATGGTAAATCTCCATCTATTGATTTAATATCAAATGAAATGATAAAAAATAGTACACATACTTTGCTCGAGTCACTTACCAAACTTTTTAATTTTGTATTTGAAAAAGGGGAGTTCCCTAAAATATGGAATGAAACTTTTATTGTCCCATTGCATAAGACAGGTAGTAAATCTGACCCAAACAATTATAGAGGATTATCAATAAGCTCAAACTTGGGAAAAGTATTCAATAAAATCATACATTTGAGATTAATCAAATTTACTTTAGATAATAATCAAATTAGCAAAAATCAAATTGGCTTTATGGAACACAGCAGAACAGCCGATCATATATTTTCTATAAAATCTATAATTGAGCATTACAAACTCAAAAAGAAAAAAGTTTATGCAGGTTTCATTGATCTGAGAAAAGCATTTGATACTATTTGGAGAACAGGTCTATTTTACATACTTCTAAAAAATGGTGTTCCAAAGAAAATTTTCAATGTGATTTATTCTATGTATGCAAGCACCATGAACAAAATAAAGTTTAATGAGGGGTTAAGCGAACCCTTTATGTCTGAAAGGGGTGTCAAACAAGGTGATGTATTAAGTCCCTTGCTTTTTAACATTTTCATAAACAAAATTGTTGATGAATTAAACAGTATCAATTCTGATCCGATATTGGTAAAGGACACAAAAATACACTGTTCGTTATATGCAGATGACTTAGTTTTGTTGTCAAGTAGTCCTGATGGTCTACAATATGTAGCCTTAATACTCTTGAAAATTATTGTGTTAATTGGAAGCTGGAGATTAATACGTCCAAATCAAAAATTCTGGTATTTAATTCTAATGGTAAAACCTTTTTAAACCATTTTACTATTAATGGTATCTGTATTGAAACTGTCTACAAATATTGTTATCTTGGTATAAATCTTAAATGTAATGGCAAATTTAATCTTGCTGCAGCTCGGTTAGTTGATAAAGCCAGAAAAGCATTATTTAAGGTAAAGAAATCCCTCGGTTTACATCATTCCTGTCAATTGCTTGAAAAATTATTTGATACTATGATAATCCCCATTTTACTTTACGGCAGCGAAGTTTGGGGTATTGACTTAGTCATAAAAAATTCAGGCTCAGCATCTTATGAAAATTTTCATATTAAATTTTCAAAAGAAATCTTAGGAG